TTAAACAGGCTGCGGAGTCTGAACGATTGCTCAAGGAAGGCTTACAGGCTAAGGTAATGCACCTATGGACCTTTTGCTTTTTAAGATGTAATCAGGCTTACAGGCTAAGGTAATGCACCTATGGACCTTTTGCTTTTTAAGATGTAATCAGAGTTTAAGAAGACGTAAAGATCGCATTGATGGCCTTTGTGGTTTTTAGCTGGCAGCATTTGGTGATGAAACTCCTGGTGAGGAAGCGAAACGTTTGGGCGAAGAATTGGTGCGATTGAATGAGCGTCATACGGAAATTGTTGCACAAGAGGACAAAAAGAGAAAGCAACTAGTTGAGCATTATCAAGTGAGGCCTTTAGTTCGTTGATTCTCAGTAGAGTTATGATTGACGGTTGATTGCGGGAGGTACAGTCATGATCCCTGAAACGGTAGGGCGTGTGACGGGACGGGGTCGTGGCTCAAAACGCAGACGGGTCAGATTCCCCGCTAATTGTAGACCCAAGATGACAAGAGTGTTAGGAACCAGATGTTGACGCGGCACGGCTGGCTGCCTGCCAGCCGTGCCGCGTCACACGCCCTATCGTGAAAAATGTCAACTGTGAGCAATGCCCCAATCATTTCATTGTTCCTTCTGGACATACAAGTGGGCATGAGTGTGTAGAAGCGGAGCTCAGTCATTCGCTCCGCTTTGAGTGACTGCATGTAATATTCGGTCCAATTTCTACTTAGACTCCTTCGATGTACACCTCCAAAATTCCTAGGTTTTGGACGACAGTATCGCTAGCGAAAACCTTATTTTACCTCTGTAAATAAGTGTTGTAGGGACAACTAGCTGACCTCCAAGCCCAGTTTGATGAAAAGGATGTTGAGCTTCGAAGCGCTCGCAGTAGGTTGGAAGAGGAACGTGCTCAATTCGCGCTACAACAGGAGCAAAACTCGAAAAACGTGGAGGTTTGTCTGATTTCGCTGTATTTTCTCTTTTATTCTTTCTGACTTTGTAATATGGTGTTTTCTTCTAGATCCAATACGATCGTCTCCAAAAAGCTTTCGAGGAAAACACTGCTAAGTTGAAATTGGAGAACGAGAACTTGAGAGCTGAGCTGAGTCGCCTCCACTCTGAGATGTTAGTTTTGAAATTTTTTTCTGAATTTCGTGAGGTAAGCTCTTATTTTCTAGAACTGATGGATAGTCTAGCTCTTTTTTTCAATTTCATGGAGTAATTTCTCATTCTCTATGATTATGATCCAAGCTACATAGATCCATGCAGACAATGTATGCGAACTTTAGCCTGTGGCGGGTTTGAAAATACTTGATTTTTTCCAGAGAAATGGCTCGACCTGGTATTAACGAGCAGCAGTTGCATGAGATCCTCAACTGGGTGAACGAAGAAAAGGCGACCAGAGAGGAGATGGAGGTAGGCTTCACTGTTGAATGGCTTGACATTGCAAAAGCACTTGTTTTTTTATCTTTTGTTTTTATTTACAATCATGTTCGCTGCGGATGAGGGGGCATGGGTTGGCGGCGGCGCCACACACTTTTCCACCAACTGTTGAGCAAGCGACAAACGTTTCATGTTGTTCGTATCTACCGTTTTCCACCAACTGTTTTCGCTTATCCGCTTCAACAACTGGTGGGGAACGGGTTTGGCACCGTGCCACACATATCTCGCCTGACACGAACGGGCTTGGCGCCCTGCCAAACCCATTCCGCCTGAAACGCCCCTCCATCGCAGACGCAGAGGACTATATTTGTTGCATCAGTGCTTTTCTCAACATATTCGAGTCTTAATTCGTTTATCATTTCTATTTTTTTTGATTGGTCAGTTTCACAGATGTTCTTGGTTCAGTTGATTGATTGGTTGATTTTTCTTGAGTTCTTGTATTCCAGCTGCTCACTCGACGGATCACCGGCGATATCGAGACTTTAAAACTGCAAAACGGCACGAATGGAGGTACGCCTCATAGTGGTCAGTGTTTGGTTGAAGTATGTAGTACTTATTTTGGCGCAGTTTCAACAAGGTATGGTGCAGAGAAGCAAAGGTTTTCCAAACCACGACTGTGGAAGCCGTGAGAGTGAAGGTCTTCTCTGCTTTAGTTTGAAAAGGAGGAGCTGATGAATAAACTGGATCCTTTTTGCGATAAATGTTTCACAGTTCCTAGGAATTACTGCGCCAAAAATGGCCCCACATTGCTCGAATAGCGCCTATTCTGTTATCAGGCGGCTTTTTCTCGATGAACAAAAGCCGCCAGATAATACAAGGATGAATGCAAGTCGAAAGGTTCATTGAGCTTTATGCATTGGTTTAGCTTATGTTTCAAAATAAAGAAGGGGTGTCGGATTTCCTGTTGGACATGCTACCATTGCAATAGTGCTACGCCACCACGGGCGGGTATCGATTGGCGCGGCCGCTTGTTTCTGAGAATGTACAGAATAATAGGAGTGTGCGAATAATCACACGGCCCCGGTGCGCGACGTAGCGTTCTATTGCACGTCGACGCGCGTTGTCACAAAGTCTGAACATTGCCTTACGAAACCGAAAGCTGTTGACGTGACGATGAGAGCGTTCCCAACACCACTTGGAAATTTCGTATTTCAGGACAATACAGTAATATCACTACGCCAGCATCAGGATGGGGATCTCGTCGAATGAACAAGGCGGCCAAAATGGAGGTTGGTATTAATTAGATGCGTTTGCGGCACTATTTGTAGCTATTCAAATTTTAGGCTAGACTTTCTCCGAAACTTTTTTAGGCGGTAGATTTCGCTGGGAGTTTGTTCCTAGTAGTGTCCAGCTTCTCTCTTGATAAGCTTATTTATTTGTTCCTAGTATTATTTGTTCCTCTGAGCAGGAATATCGTTTTACACAGAATGCGTGGCATTACCGTGACAGTCACCAGTATCAAAACAAGAGAAGACACTGAAAATCTTTCAGAGTTGCTGGATACTTTTAATAGGATTATCCGTTCAGTGCGAAAATGCTAGGCACTCGCGCTACAGGAGCGGCAGGAAGGGGGGGGGGGAAGGAAACTGTCCTTTAACACGAACAATTGGGCGTTTTTGTGGTACATGGGTATATGATGTGGTTGGCTTAGTAAACAACTACCATGGATGGTTTTCAGGCCAAATCTGCATAAAGCCTCGAATATTAGTGAATTCGAAGCAAAAATTCGATAGCAGAGACTAGAGTAAATGCTGCTGCAGTGCCGTCTACTTCTTATCTATGGACCATCTTGTTCTCTGCGAATACTGGGTCTCGTCACGGAGGATTGGTATGGCGCGGGGCTGACCCAATCTCCACAAAACAGTCGGCGGAAAACTGTCTGGCGCCGCCCAAGTCTGTCCCTCCGACACGCCCAAGCACACGCAGTGAACAAGACTGCGCAGAAATGTCGTCGATTCTCTTTCATCCCTATTTATTTATAGATTCTGGACGCAAAGAAAGCACTGAATGCCGAGATAAGAGCAAAGTGTGAACTTCAAGAGGAGCTGAGCAAGACGCGATCGGCTTTGTTTGCGTCAAAGGCCCGCCTGGACGAATGCGAAGAACGGGTGCGTTTACCTTGTTAGATTCTGACTACAGCTTTATTTTTGTTGAGAACTCTATCTGATATTACTGTAATTATTTATTTATTCGTTGATTGCGCACGCAAAATTACAAAGTTTTCCCCAATATCTACTCAAAGATGAGCTGTTCTCATACGGAAGGGGCCGGTCCCGGGAAACAGAATTCACTTCATAAGAGGGAGGTGGTTATAGTAAAAATTAAGTTTAGCCAAATACAGTGCTTTGTAAGGGAAGTAGCAAAACTGAAGCTCTTCCATGGGCGGTACCCCACTGCGCTTGACGTCCATAGGTTTCGTTCGAACGTAAGGGTTCACCTGTTATTACTAGTACGAGTTAGTATATGTCGGGGTGAGTTTATGTTGTTTTTTGAAGTTCTTGGTCCACATCGATAATTGTTATACACTGAGCATCAGCTTATAACAGTTCTCCAAGTCATTCGGACAAGAACTTGGCCTTACTGCCCTCAAGGTCAAGAATCAAGCGGAGGTGTTTCTGTGAAAGTTATCCCACAGGTTGCTTGTAGCTCGGAAATAGCAAGATTTCGTACGAGTCTGCCAGGGTCAAGCTTTTACAACGCAAACCAGCGCTCCTGTCATAACTTCTGCATAACGAAATGATAAGCACCCGTTATCATGAAATTATGCAAAAGTGTTCCCGGTATTTTAGCGTTGGGCATAGGCTTTTAAGAGAGAAAAGGCAAAAAGTAAGGGGACTAGAAAAAAGTGCATTCATATTCATTTCTGCGTAAATTCCTTGAACTTTAATGCTTTTTCCCAACGTTTGACAAGATCTCTATTTCCGTAGGAAAAAGTTTTTCGGTTGCATCTATAGTCAATGACTTTTTCTACATTCGTAATCAATTTTGCGCCGCAGTTTTGATATTCTCATAGGTTGCAAATCTTCCTCTTTCAAATCTTTCAAGTAAATTTGTCACCGTACTATGCTTGCATTCGACGAATAATGTCCGCAAGTTTAACACCTTCCGCTTAAAAAAAAGCGAAACACTGCTCTCCTTGGTGCAGACGGATAACAGAACTGTTACGTTAAATGCACGCCCGACGTTCATTTGAAGTCCAGGCCCCTTTTTTGGAGATGGTTGTCCCCGGCAGGCTTGAAGAATGTACTAATTTTGCAGCATGAAACTAAATAAGAAAAGCGCCGCCCTTGCGCGACGGAACCACGGCTCCGCCCATTGGCCACGGCACACTTAACTTTCATTTTTGGCTGCTACCTGCCGATGCGGTTGTTCCACAACTAACTCGTCCGACCACGCCCCTTCTTCGCCTTATGCACGCACAAACGCAGTCCAGCATAGTGTTCTATAAGGGGCACTTGGGGTGGAGTTCCTGGCGCTTTCTTCAATTTCGTGTTTCGTGTTATCCATTGCTTACGAACAAATCTCTCTTGCCCAGGGACGGGGTCTGCGCACCATATGAACGCAGGGTGTGCTTTTAAAGGTAGAAGGCATGTGTGCTGGGGTGGGCGGTTGTTGCCAACGTCACTGGTGGAAGGGCTGAGTGGAATGTGGCCGAACCCCTTTTCACCTCTTCCTTTAGAATGGCGCCTGCAACAACTGCCCGTCTTTTGCCATCGTGCCGACTGCTTCTAAGGGGAAAGTTAAAGTTGAACTATGCTAGAAGGGGTGTGATTAGCTTTTTTAGTGCACTGCACTCATCACATTTGAAGTACAGTTTCTTGTTGCAGTTGGCAGCCGCGAGAAAGGAGAACGAAACGTTGAAAGCAGAACTACGCGCCGGTAACCGTGACAGTGTGGAAGATGGTCGTGCATTCTTCAATATGGTTCCCGAAGGTGAGTACCGTTCTAGAACTGCACTAGGAAAAAACTCTGCATGTCACAACCTTCCAGCGACTATTGAGCGTTCTCGCCTAGTTCAGATAATATGTTTGAGCGTATCATTGTGTCTCACTTTTCTATCCGCTTATTTCAAGGTCGTACATCTACGCCGCGTGATTCGGTACACAATTCCTTCAGTACTGACTACGAGATCTCCAACAGCAGGAGATACGGTGTTCCAGGGTTTGTTATCTTTACTTAATAAGCGAAATTAGTCCTAAAGAGAGGTTCGATCACAAACTCGGTTCCAGAATCCCTTCACCAGCACCACCGCCTGCGTACGAGAATACGGTTAGGCATAGTCAGACACCCTCAACTGCATCTACGATGTTGGTGGGGAATCGGGGAGCAAGTCCGAAGGTAACCTTGTTGAAAACAAATATTCTCTTGTTTCTCTTCTTATGTTTATCCGAAATTTTTGTGAAGCATTTTCACCTCTAAATTTAAGGTAATCCAGTCGCTGAATAACGCCTTGAGTGGGCGTGGTCATCAATTCCAGCATGTTCACTTAAATGCGCCAACGAAATGTGGTCATTGCACATCTATATTGGTGGGGTTGGATCGTCAAGGTGTGTTCACTAGTTCAATGAAAAGCTCTTTTAAAATTAACTGAAAATATTGGTTTATTGATTGGTGAAAATATTGGTCACACGCTCAGCTGAGCCATGTAACACTGTTACTCGGAGGCATTTTCCATCATTATCCTATGCGCGGGGATACACAACGATTGCTCTTTCTGCCTACGTCCCGCATGGTGAAGACGGAAGATACCCCAGTGGGATCCCGTTGGCATTACGCCAACAGCCGCTTAGATAGATACCCCTACACGTATGCATTCATATAACAATGTAAGGCTTCATATCAGCTGCACTTCGTAAATGAAGCGATAAGAGTGCTAGCGCCGATGTGACTGTCCAACCATTTGTGGGCGGGGGGTTGCGGTGGGCGTCTGGGCAACTTGATTAGACGCTATGACGGTGTCCTTGGTTGGAAAAGGCGCCACACAGCGCCTGCTAAAGGAGACAATATTCTTTTCTGCTAGACATACCAACCCTATGTGCCTCGTCGATTTATTGCGCCACTTGCTTTCAAGTTAATTATTCACTGAGTACAGTACCCCTTTTGTAAACTCATGATGGTTTTCAGGACTGTATTGCCAGACATGTCACTATGCATGTCATGTGCATTGCTCATCTCGAGTAGTACCTCAATGTCCTGTACCACCTGACGCTCGTCGACCACTTGGAATAGATCCACTCAAAGGTGTTGGGACCGCCTACGAGGGATTAGTGAAGACGCCACGTGCAGGTGGTGTGAAGAAGGTGTGTGGAGTTTTTCTGCGACATATGCTCATCTGAGCTTTTAGTACTCAATGAATTTGCAGTTTTAATAACATTTTGTTTCTTTCTGAAACTACAAGAAAGCTTTAGGGCTGGCAACACACGTATGTGGTTGTGTGCGACTTCAAGCTCTACCTGTATGACTGTGTTACTGACAGGCAGAATAAGGCCAATGAGATCCAGCCAGTTATTAGACAGGTATGGCTTCTCCGCCAGAAACAAGAAAAACATTAATTATTTACTATGAGGATCGTCGTTCAGGTCCTCGATATGCGAGATCCCGACTTTGGTGTGACCGGCGTCAACGAGCAAGATGTTATACATGCTAATAAGTGAGTTCATTGGATTCATTTGCTTTTAAAATGCGTTTTTTAATATTCGAGTGTTCATTATACTTCTAGCTCTATTTGGGATTAAATCTGAAGTTTAGGAACGATTTGGCCAAAATTTTCCGCATCACGACAAGTCAGATTCAAGGCTCATCCATGACAGATGAAAGTACCATGACAAGGCAGTATACATTGTTGATGGCAGATAGCCAGGAGGTTTGTATGGAGCTACTTCCTTTGGTTGCATACCACTTGGAGATATTACCTCATTGGTTCCTCTTTCAGGAAAGAAAGAAATGGGTAATTGCCTTGAATGAGCTCAAAACTCTGCTCAAAAGGTCTCGATTAGCCGACAGGAGTGCCTTCACCGTAAAGGTTGGTACTGTGATTTTCGATAAGATTTTATTGCCGAGGTTGTGAAGTGTCTATGCGTCGTCATATGACTATAGTAAGGGTCTCGATGATGTCTCCATAGAAAAGGAAGTAGGCAGTCTCTGTGCTCAAAGCCCCACAATACGTTAGCCGATAGGCAGATTGCTTCTACCACATGAAGTGCGTATGTCCGCAGCCGACTTGGGTGTGCCACTACTGTCAACTGAAGGTGTGGGGCAACGAAATGAAGGGGTTGTGACGACGCGAGCTCTCCATCTTGACCCGGGGGTCCCACTTTTCACACTCATTATGTTCTATCATAAACAGCTTAATCAACAGGCAATACGCCCGTCTTTGTCGAATCACGAGCGCCAGCAACTCGTACGGTGCTGTAACTTAAAGACAGCTCCCGCGATAAAAGTGTCATGGATAGTTGCTTTTCAATTATGAAACAGTAGCTGATAAGTAATTCCCCAGAAAAGAAAAAAAAGCAAGAAGAGTCCTCAAGAACACCATAAACAAAATCGCGCCCTGACAGTCACACCTCCCTGCGGTCTCTGTGCAAGCCCTGGCTCACAAATCACTTTGTCACATCTCCCAGTAGTGGATATCATCGAATGCGAAGAAAAGAAAAAAAACAAAAACATAGAGGAAAAACTCTTGAAAAGAAAAGAAACATTTAAAAAGCCGGCGTCCGAATTTAGGGTTACGGTAGCGTGCATATTTTAGTGTAGTGAAGTGCTTTTGCACCACGAAAATTGGGTCGCTCGTGATTTTTACGCGTTTTATCTTGCGAGATGTGTTGGAGTTGACTGTATGTGCTCCTGATTAATAAAATGTAATAAAGGAGAGCAGAATCATTCATGGGCATGAGCGCTGTTAGCGAAAAGGACATGCAATTCCGATTAATGCCCGCCGCCCCAACAAAGAACAACTGAGCTGCCCTCCGTCGGAGGGCATCTAGCAAGTGGGCGTTGCAACTTAGCGGGCGTTAGTACTAGAAAGCGGGCGTTAGACTAGAACTTTCAGCGGCTGTAGCTCGCTCCTCGCTCGCTGTGGAGTCGCGAGAGTGGGATAGTCTCTAGCTTGGGGCTGTACTACTTGCACAAGGAAGGACGACCATGTACTACTCGAGCGCGGGGGCTGTCTTTAAAAATGGTCTTGTTAATGACAGTTCTCTCTACTGTTTTGTGTATGACACAGCTTCATATTTAAACACGCTCAGCTTACCATCGTACCCTTTTTGGCAGAGCATTAAAGGGGTGATGGTCGAAAAATTTCAAGAAAACTGTGTTATAGGAAGTGTTCGACGTGGCCAGTTTACCATCAATACGAGTAGCACAATGTGCAGTGGTTATTGATCGGACAAAAGTGGTGATCGGCTTTGCCGACGTCGGCATGTACTGCGTGGAATTGGATCGTGAGGTACGCGCAGTTTGTTTATTCTTGCTGTTCTAGAAGTTTGCTCACCAGTAGTTATTCTCTGTTTTTATTCGATAAGGGAAAAGGGATAAGGCAACCATGCTCTGTCCCAAATGTATCTGAGAACTTGAGTGCACAGT